GTGTTTGTGTGTGTGTGTGTGTGGGTTTTATGGTTTGTTGGGTCTTTAGGGCTTACAGGGAGAACAGGGCTTTTAGGATTTATGAGGGTCTGGGATGTTCGGGGGGTGTCGAGCATCTTCTGCTGCAGGGCAGGGATGGTAAGTAGTGGAAGGGGCAAGGCCGGGAGTCCGGTTTTAGTCTCGGGCCGAGGTTGTGCTGCGACCTGAAACAGTTCAGGGAGGTCAAAATAGTAGACTACCACGATAGCAATGACTCAGAGCACTACACAGAGCACCATACAGGGCAACGTTCCGTCAGCTGTTTACTTGTTGTGAAACTGCCTTTTTGCGACCCTGCAGCTGTCCGATGCTCGATGTCCCAGCCAACAGCACTTGGTGAGGGATTGCGCGGTGGCCCAACACTCCACCACAGAGGAAGAACTCCTACTGGAGAGATTCCAGGGCAGATTCTAGCGCAAATCCCTAAACCCACGCTTTAACCTGCGCTGCACCTCTTCTAGGCGTTTCTTTCAGAGCCGCGGCGTGTTGGCGCATCCCTGGGTTCTGACGCTGGTGGCAGCATTGAGGCGAGATGGAGCTCGCAGAACGCTCTAACGATCAGGTTCGAAACATGTGGTGACGTTTCCAGGTCTTCAGTGCTTGGGTACACTGGCTACAGCTGGAGTTCAAGGGCATCTTGTTGGATGTTTAATTATTTCTTTCATGATGAAATACAGGTTCAGGGTGATGTTCTGGGCCAGTTGCATGATCACATCTATCGCGACTTCGGCTTTATTTCCGTTGACTACCATACGGCTTCCAGGTTCGGCAGGCTCCTCCGTGCTTTAGATGTTTCAGTTGCTTCGCGTTTCTGCCACGGGTGCAGCATCTCTGAGATCCAGGCGGGAACGTGCAAGTCTGTCCAAACGGGATACACAGTAGGGGCCTGGAGTGGAAGCATTTCGGTTCAGGAATTTGCATGCGGCTTAGTGGCACACATACTAACATACGTAGTTTGGTACAGCAGGGTGCGACAGTATCCATTGCTTTAGATCGTGTGTTTTCTGCGCAAGAAAGTGTTATTTCACAGCAATATCATTGTACAGCAGCAGCATGTATTCTGACAAGACTACAAGGGGTACGCACAGGAACTTGTGGGACGACTATCATCGATGCCTGCACAACTGTGTACTACAGTGCTGTCAATGGGTAGTTCTCTCGATTAGGGTCCCTGTTCGGGTCCTTTGTATAAGAGTGCCGTGCTATTTTGAGGGGACCTAAACATGGACGCTAATGCAGAGAGCTACCCACATGCTACTACAATTATGGAGCCATCGTGTTCGATGAAGGTGTTCCAAGTCCAACCCTGCCCCTGAAGGTATGGCGCAAACAGCGTGGAAATAGATGGCGCTGTCCACACCGTAGACCATGACATTGACTTGAGCCCGCCGGCAATATTCGAATGCAGGGGTCTAAATATGCATAATTAGCAATAATGTTCCCGTTTGGTCCGTACTGGTACCATGACATACCCCACAACCCTATTCTGATAATCCAGGCCTCTACATCCTATGTGTTGTATACTTACCTTCATATCTATCGAAAGAGGTTACTCAAACATGCTACAGTACTTTGTACTGGCCAATGGAGCCTTTTCTGCTGCTTTGCACTCTCGTGAGTTCTCTTCTTGGGCGTCCACTGCCTACCTCAAATGGGGTTGCTATTTCCTAAACCCCCCCTGCCGAGTTGCGAGAGCGTAAGCCCCAAAACCAAGCAAAACAATCTCTAAACCCTAAACGAAGCATCCCGAAGTTCAGTCTAAGGTTTGGTTTTCAATCTATTGCCGCCACATTATTTGAGGACATAGCGGCTTAGTTCAGTACATGTTTCGTAGCCCTCATAGTAATCTTTAGAGTACAACTTCCAGGAACCTTCAAGGACCCCAACATGAGTCTGCTCAGCTCTTGTCTGGGGAAGAACTAGCAGGCCGGTTGCTGCCTTCTGTGGCATCCTACAAGCCGCGTACTGCTTTAGGATTTGTTTGGTAAAGTTGACAATAAAACTATGCTGTAATGCGGCATGCTGACAAGTCTCGCAGGGCACTGTAGTCTCAACAGGCGGCGGGAAACTGGGAACCAAGGCTCAACCAACTATCCGACACTTTTGAAGCTTTGAAGCATCCCAAACAGGTCTAGGCTTCTTGTTCAGGTCCTTTCCAGCTTCCTGATCACAAAAGGATCGTTGACGCCTGTGGCAAACGTTGCAGTACAAGTTCAACTGAGAGCTCCTACATGCTCCGACTCTTTTCCCCGCCCAAATGTTAGACCATAGCATGCTGTGGTGCGCACTATAAGCATTTATACGGTCGACTTTTGACGCTGTAGCACAAACACTGAACCAAAGGCAGGGCAACCCGGGAAAATCCGCAAGATCCGAGCTCAGGGCTGGTCATACCCAACAACATGACCTTCCCGGCACTGATGGAGGATCTGGACGCTTGGCATATCTGCTGAAGTATGGTGTGCGATCGTATTAGATCAGAGTATGGCATGCTGGACTGGGCTATAGCCTCTTGTCACTTCATGTCCGGCCGGCGCTACCAGGCACCAGACCGCAGTCCGGTGCTTCGGTCCTGGCTTTCGTGTCTTTACTTTGGAGACTTTCTGGGGATGGCACAGCAGAGAGAGCCAGAGAGAGTTGAAACTCTCTGAGTTACTAGTATTCGCAAGCAGTGAACTTGACGAACAGGTATGGCACTATTTCACTGCATTCCTCCAGGATTAAGAACGTTTTTCAGCCAATTAAAAAAAAGCCAAGTAGAGATTGCTAGCATCTGTATAGCTGCGAAGCGCTCCATCAGGAAGACTTCCTGTGGAATTCTGGCCACTGGGTGAAGGCAGGGACACAGATCGGCAAGAAACAGTACAGTAGTACGGCAGCTTTGTTAGCAGAGCACAGAACAGGACAGCAATCTCCTTGTTGGGGTATTCAATAGTCTTCGCCATGCGACCACCGCTCTGGCGGGCCAGGCATAGCCTCCTGCCAGGCGACAACTTTGGATTAGAATTGTAATGCGGGTCATCGGATTCCACTGTTCGATTCGATGGATTTCGATGGTAGTTTGCGCATGTGTTCAGAAAACGTCTGCTGTCGGTCAAAAACTCAACTCGGTAGAACTTCATGCTAGGCTTGTTTCTGTACGACAGTATAGCATACGTATCTTCTGCTACAGCGCATCATGCCGCAGTATAAGTGCCTAAGAACGCATTGTACATGTTGATATATCGCACCCAAATGCGAAAGCAGAGGCATGACTGTCAGTCTTCTCGATGGCGGCTAAGTTTGCGTGTGGATCTCGCCGTTTGTCAAGCACTCGCGTGGGACACAGTATACTACAGACACATCAGAGCCAAAAATCCTCATGTGCGAGGCGTTTCCCTGTGGGCTGCCGAAAGCGCCTTGTCTTGTGCATAGACTACGGCATACGACTTTGATATTGCATGTTATACCATATGCTATACAACGTGCTAGTTGACAAGCTGTTTGGTACTATGTACGGGACTGTATGCTAGCTACCCTAAGACCTCCAGCTTATCCCATACCTGTCAAGGAAGAGAGATCTCGATGTCTAGATATGTCTGCAGTTATGTGCATGAACATGAGCTTCTTCGAGGAGTCTGGAAGCCAAACTTACTCAGTTCGAGCTCAGTGTGAGAGTAGCGGCTGAGCGTTTGGCATCGGAGTTCTTTAACCCAGCTTTTCAGTGTGGTTATGGTTGTGATCTGCGTGACAACTGGTCAATCGTCGTCGTAGTATAAGAGTAGTAGCAGTAGCAGCGCTGATTGGCCCTCGAAAACCCACTGCCGCACACCGCAAAAGCAACAGCATGCAACTGCGCTCCTCCAAGCACTACTGTACCTGTGTAGGGTATTTCATGTTCACCCATAAGCCATCAGAAGACGAACCAGCAGCTCAGTAGCCCTGAATCGCAGCAGCCGAGCATCCCCGGTGATTCCAGCTCAACAATCTCTCAGTCCTGAACATGAACACCTCGGATTGAGCTTTCATTTCTCGGGCTCGCTAGAAGCCAGAGCATGTCCTTCTTCAAGAAGGTCGGGCAGCACAACCCTGCGCTGTTGTTCTTCGGGACGCCCACTGCCGCCGGCTGGATGCAGGCTACGGCCTCTGGCCGTTGGATGGTGTCGTAATGTGTCGTATAATACTGCGCCCGGGTTTAGGGTTTAGGGTCATTGTTACCCAACACGGGGAGGGAAGGTTGCGCGACTTGGGTCCCTTCGGGCCCGGGAGTTCGTGGGCTCCCGTAACCCCTATATAACCACATACTCAACCCCTCGCACGCAAAGCAAGTATGAGAATCACGCGCTCCGCCCAAGGGCAGGACGCGGTCAGGGCCTGTGAACCTCATGCGAAACCTGAAAGCGCGACAAGGAGAGAAAGGACCATGCGCAATGCAACCACCAAACTAAGGCAACCCAAAGCAAACGGCACGGAAGGAACTGACATCCCTTCCTCCGAATTTCTCGACAGTGAAGCCCTGGCAGCATCCGCGACAACAGTTCTTTGCATCAGGCCGTATGCGTGTGTATACATGCATACATACATACATACATATATATATATATATACACATGTATCTACATATATATATATATATAGATGTATATACACACAGAAAGGTACTCTCTCTCTCTACCGAATTGTGCGATGCTATACTTTGGCAGTAGTGTCAGAGCCATCGTATTCCCATGGGTACAGACCCAACAGCACAGAGGCCACGAACCTCATGCCGCACGTGCTTTCTCTTTGGACAGCCAAGAGTGCGCCGCAACTTGAATGCACAATTGTCCATCTTACTTGCATGGTATACTACGGAGTACAATCTTGATCTTGCATGGTATGGTATGCGACTGTATATCCTCAAGTATACTGACGTACTGTATGCTAGCTAAAAGTAATGGATGTGACAGAAGCGGGTTTATGTATATAGCTACAAATTGAATCCTCTAAGGATCTGAAAAAACCCTCCAATGAAGCGCGCAGCTAAACTATCCAAACTATGTCAGAATATATGCAAGTATGAGACTTGGGTCTCGTATGCGATAGTGCAATTCTCAGTCTTTCCGGTTTGGGTGTTCGGGCATATGCTTTTGTGCTATCTAGACCCTAAACCCCAAACCTTATAAGCCCTAAGCCCTATAAGCCCTATAAGCCCTAAGCCCTATAAGCCCTAAACCCTATGAATCCTAAACCCTATAAACCCCGGCAAGCAGACGACTTTGGCCAAGGACGATGGCACCTGCCGTCGGCTTCATGGCACAGGCACGCATTTTCGCAAGCTTCTAGTGCCATGATTTGTGTGCTGTTTGTGCTCTATGGCTGTATAGTGGCCCTGAGCCAGACTATGGAAGCCTCTCTACTTGGCAGTATATTCCTTCAGTGCGGGATTTTGGGCGCTTTGGGTCAGTGGACGGGTTTGCCATGTGTTTGCTTGCCGCCGAGCAGACAGGGCTTGTGGACTCTGAAGACCTGGTGGGGGCATTCTGAGTTCAGGCTTTTGGGCTTATAGACGTTTGGGCTTGATACTTGAGTTTCGAATTCTAGAGTACTATAGCTTTAAGCCCTAAACCTTAGTTGTCCCTTAGAGCCAGTCGAAACTGCAATAGCAATAATAAAGGGGGCTCAGGATCCGTGGAAAGTGCCAGGATTTCGAGTATAAGCTAGTTAAGGATTGACCAGGTGCGGTGGCTACATGCTGGGTCTTCTGCAAGGGAGCGAGCCTGAACGAATACAATGCTAATCCTTGGGGTCCATTCGGGTTCCCTTTTAGAAGTGTATGACCCGAAACCCGAAACCCTTTACTAATTATTGGGGCGCGTCTGTCATATACCACAGACGACGAACACACGAAGAGCAAATTGAAAGCCCGGAGTCCTGGAACCACGTTGCATCCTGAGCCTTCCCACAGATTCTGGGGCTGATCCTGGCACCTATCTGGGCCTTGGTGGTCGACGTCGAATCTTGACTGTTCTCACCCTACACGGCCGGGTTTTCATCCTGAAGAGCTGTTGCTTCGGAGTCGTGAGCTGCGAAGATCTCAGTGTTGTTTCAGGTCAGAGGCTTGGTAGATAGTGTGGAAGTAGTGTATGGTAGTATCATGAAACTTGCCATAAGCCGGCCCCGGTTTCCTAAATCCCAACACCATCCAACAGCTGAAACCTTGGCTCCAAACCCGGCACCTACCGAGTCCAAAACCTTGAATCATGCGATAACCCCCACCCGCCCTCACACTTATTCCAGGTGGATATGTAACCCTAAACCCTATAAACCCTATAAACCCTAAACCCTAAACCCTAAACCCAAGGAGTTAAGCTATGGGCCACTAAGAGCAAAACACCTGAGGAGAGAGCCAAGGTTCGCGCGATTGTTCTGGCCAAAACCTTCTATGGCAAACTCTGCCCCAAGAACTCTGACAAAATCATATCAGAAGATGCCCTGGAAATCTCTTGGAACGGCAAAGCCTATTATGAAAATCACCAGCTGTTAGGGTCTGTAGAGAGGGACGGTGAACCCAAGTACTACGATGTCTGTATTGAGGATGCTAAAGGTAACCACATGAATTGGTACCTCAAAGCAGATGTCTTCTCCTTGATTACTGGTAAGGAACCTGAATCTCTACAGGAACTCTGGCTGACAGTAGGTCCCACCTCTCCTGAGGCGAGAACAACTAATTGACTAAAAGGACCTCTCAACAAAGCCGTCATGTTTCACCCCACTAGCTGGAACATTCAGGGTAAAAGCCTTGATGACCTTAAAGCTGCGTGGCCAGTATTGGGCCTCGAAGGGATCGATGCGTTGGGTCTCCAAGAACTAGGTGGGTTCTCACATTTAACACTTCCGTGGACTACAGTTGATTGTGATTTGGGATCGGATGGACTATGGTGCTTCTACGTCACAAGTCCACCTTTGGCTTTTCGGGCTGTTTCCGTAGGACTTCCGGCTAGGGTCGCACCTTTTGTAGACCACGTGAAACCGCTTTGTTGTGGCATTTGCGTCACACTTAAATTAGATGGCTGCAAGCAATTCATAATTAGTGCACATCTTCCTCATCGCCAACGCAGTGACTGCATTGATGTATGGCACACTTTCTCTACGGAACTTGAGCAGGCTTTGACTCATAGGAGGGTAAGTGACTCTGTTGTGGTATTAATTGACACGAACTATGAAGTGGGCCACCCAGAGGTGTTGCTTGATCCGAACTCAGCTGATGATAGGGGTTTCTTAGTTGGGTCTATTCTTCAAACGCATGGGTTGGTTTCTACCACTCCTTCAACATATACGTGGTCGAATCAAAGAGGGTCCTTCTCTAAAATTGACTTTGTGTGGGTCGGCTCGCCCTGCCCAGTTCTGCAGTCTCAGAGAGTCTTGGAGGATTCAGACTTTCAGATGGGTTGTGATCACCGCGCAGTCACGGCTTCCTTTGAACTTTGGGGATCCGAAAGACGACAGTTACGTAAACGTCGTAGCAACATTACGAAATGCGGTAAATGGAGAGTTGACGCTGTTAAAGTTCATCAGGATGCGAGTATTCTTGCGGAGGATCTTGATCTCAACCAGAAAGACTTTGACATGTCAAC